CGGCGATCCTTTCACCTCAGCCTTCCAAGTAGCCGGAATTACAGGCGTGCGCTACCACGCCCGGCTGATTTTTTGATTTATTGTAGAGATGAGGTCTCGCTGCCCAGGCAGGTCTCGAACCCACAGGCTCAGGCAATCCACTCACCTCAGCCTCCCAAAGGCACGGGATTACAGGCTGAGCCACCGAGCCTGGCTGAGTCTCACTCTTATCACCCAGGCTGGAGTGTAATGGAATGCTCACAGTCACAGCAGCCTCAATCTGCTGGGTTCAGGCGATCCTTCCACCTCAGCCTTCCAAGTAGCTGGAACTACAGATGTGCACCACCACGCCTGGCTAATTTTCTTATTGTAGAGATGAGAGCTTGCCAAATTGCCCGGGCTGGTCTTGAACCCCTGGGCGCAGGCAATTCTGTTGCCTCCACCTCCCAAAGTGCTGGGATTACAGGCATGAGCCGCTGCACCCAGCTAGGTGTTTTTTTTTTCTTTCCCTCTTAATGGAATTGAGAGGCTAGCTTTGGCCAGTTGTAGAATTCACATATATGGGGCTGTGACAATGGCAGATTCTGGGGTCTGGGAGTATTTTATTTCTAGATACATGTAATGGCAATTTTTCTTCAGAGTACTTTCATACATTCATCCCATTTCTGTCAGCAAAGACAGGGGACCCGTATGCTGACAGAGAAACCGAGGCTCACAGAAACAAAGGTAGATGCTGAGAATGGTACCCAGGGTGCTTAACTCCAGGCTGTTCCTTCCCACCAGAGGCGGCACACACCTAGGCAAGCCTCACCTGCTGACACATGCACGTGTGAAGCCACCTTGTAGTGGCACAGTGCCCCCTTGGAGAAAGGGCCCAGGCTCGGGTCGACCCCCTTAGGGAGATGAGGCTCAGTGAGGAAAACGGTACCACCTCCCAGGGGTGCCCCGGTGGTGCCATGATTGGTCCACCCTCTGCTTGAGTGTCCTCAGCCACATGGGAGGATGGACGGAGGGGGAGCTAGTGGTGCTATCCCCCGTGAAGCTCCTGGGGAACACGAGGCAACGTGAACCCCATCTGTGCACCCACAGGCAGGAGGCCCTGCCAGTGGTCAAGGACGTGGAGGAAAGGAGGCCCAGCTGGGCGCCGAGGCCCAGGCGCGCTGGTGCAGATGTTCCTTTGGCTGTTCCCTTAGGCCCGCAGCTGCTGGACACAGGCCACAGGGCCAGGGCCACCCAGGCCGACACTGCGGAACGCCTTGCAGAGGATGCGGAGGGCAACATCCTGGGCTCAGAGTAAGGAGACCTTGCCCCGGAACAGACTGTCTGAAATGCAGGAGTGAGGCGGTCTCCAGCCCACAGGAGCCTGCAGGTCGGCTCCTGGGCAAATCAGACTTCAGTGCATTCACTGCGTCCCCCACCCATTTCCTGTTCCTGGAAGTTTCAGCTGTTGTGAGAAACACTTGGCTTCCTTGCCTGCCCTGCCTCTGTGACTTCTGACTGGAGGCCCGAGGAGATGGGGGGAGGGGTACAGGCGTGGGGCTCAGCGCAGTTTTCTGTACCCTCTTGTTCCGAACTTTCAGGCAGGTACTGGGGAGAGGCTGCCTCCCTGAGCCAGTGCGCGATCATCTCTTCTGATTCAATCACCCTTTCCAGGTGACAAAGCACAGCTCCTGTGCCCCGCCTTCCAACTCGGGACATGGCCTGGACCGGGTGGCTGGACCTCAGGCCTGCCCCTGTGGACAGAACCAGGAGGGCACTGCAGCCCGCAGCCCCGAGTCCTCAAAGGCCAAGACCAGGCCCACAAAAGGGGGCTGAGGTTACAGCAGCAATACGTGCAGGCTGGGGGAAAGGGATGAGGGGCTTGCCTGAGCCATGGCCATAGCTGGGCCCAGGCCCGGGGCCGTGTCCTTCCTCCCGGCCACGGAGGCTAAGGATGCTCTCGGCCCTCAGGAGGAAGTACTCGCAGCGCAGGCATCTGGAGGCTCTGCTTTGCCACCTGCAGGGTTTCCAGCAGGCCAGGCACCTAGCAGTGACATGGCAGCGCTGGGTAGATGCTCACGGGGCAGAGCAGCTGGCGCGGACTCTGGTGAGTGGTCACGGCCTTCCTCACCCCACACTGAGCCACGCCTCAGGCCCTGGGGCCCATCTCCCCCCATCCTCAACCCTCACCCCTAGAGACAGTCTCTCAGAGAGTGGTCTTTGGACCTACTGAGTCTGATACCTAGCAGGATGGGCCCGGAAACCTGCACTGTGAACACCCCTCACATGACACCCCCCATCACAACCCTCTCACCCCGGTGCCACAGAGGTGCAGGAGAGGCAGGAGGAAGGCTGAGGACTGCAGGGAGTGTGGGTGCAGGAAGCCTTCTCAGCCAGTTGTCCCCATAGCTCAGACAGCGGCACCTGACATGGGCCTGGCGGACGTGGCGGCGGCGGGTCTTGCAACTGCAGGTGGCTCAGAGGCTCCAGCAGCAAGAAGACAGCTGGGTCCTCTCCCAGGTACCCGCCCCCCCAAACTGGGCCAGCCCTGCCAGAACCAGCACACTTGCACACCATGGAGCTGGGGGCTTCCCTGCTTGCCACCCCAGGACCCCTTCATTTCCATCTAGTCACTCTGTTTGGGGACAAGGCTTGGCCTGTGGGGTGCTGCCACTCACACCAGTCCCTGTGGGGTCTGAGTCCCTGAGCACCCCTCCCTCATTTGCTCTGAGCAGCTTCCCAGATCACAGATCTATTCTGAGCCGTGCATTTGACCTGTGGTAGCGCTGGCTGGCTTGGGGCACAGGGGTTGCTCTAGTGGGCAGGACACAGGCCCTGGAGGGAGCCAGCCTTTCCTCTGTCTCCGCCTCCCTGATTCCAGGCCTTTGAGAGGTGGCACCAGCACCTGGCAGCCAAGAGCCCAAAGAGAGGAGCCGCCGGCACCCAGGACCACTGAGCAAGCAAGCCAGGCTCCAGGGCCTTGGGGGCAGGCAGGAAGCTGCCCAAGCCCCTGGGGTTGGCAGGCTTGGGGCAGAGCAGGCAGCCCAGCTGCAGCTTGTTCTCACAGAAGAGGAAGAGGTGGACCGGCCCTCCCTGGGAAGGAACTGTGCCCTATGCACCCAGGGAGTGTGGTGCAGAGAGGACAGCTCCAGGAGCTCTGGAAGACAATAAACGCCGCCTCAGTCCCAGTTGCTTCTCTTGATCTCCTAAACCCTCCCTTTCCCCCTCAGCAGGCAAGGCCAGGAGTGAAAAGGAGTGCCCTGAGCCTGCCTGCGCCTTGCCCCCACCCCCACCAGGTGCTCTGAGATACCCCCTGCACTGTGCACAGTCCTCTTCGCTGAGCCAGAGAAGCCCAGCAGGCTGGGATCCAGGACAGGAAGCAGGCCATCTGCCTGCCAGTCCCTGCCCCTCGGCCACAGGCCCTGAGGGCTGGTTCATGGGGAGCAGGGCCAGGCAGATAGCTTCTGGGACAGGATGGGAGGCAGGGAGAGGGCTGCTGGCAGGAGGAGGGTCTGCCACAGAGCAAGCCAGGAAGCGTGACTGCCGTACAGCCCGGGGAGCTGGACCTGGCACAAATGACCCTCATCCCGCCTCTGACAGTCAACAGGCAGAAGCATGCCTCCACGCCAGGGAAGAAGGGCAGGCCAAGGGAGCTCCACCAGGCACCAGGCTTCAGACGGCCTTCCGCCCACAGGCGCTTTTCCCCTGGAGCCATGAGAATGGGGGCAATGGTTCCAAAAGCATCAGCGTAGGAAGGAGATCCAGTGGCTCAGGAGGTAGCAGGACACGTGCGCAGTATTGGGTGTCAGCCCAAGATCCATCCAGGGGCCCGGGGCTGTGGACGGCCAAGAGGCAGGCAGGGCAGTGGTGTGCCCTTCGCAGGAACAGGCGGGCAGTGGCCAGCGTTGAGAGGTGGTGGGCGCAGCACCCGCCCCCCGCACCGGTCATGCCTCATCTACAAGGTCACAATGCCACTGCCTGTGTGCACGTTGCCTGCATGACACAGGCCCCAAGTGCAAGTTCACTGGAGCCCAGGTTGGCTGTAGAGGCTGCCTTGGTTCAAGGTTCAGTTGGCAACAAGCAGCTTCCTCCCGTTCTCTGGAAGTGCCACCCACTCTGGTCCTCTGCAGGACAGAGACGCCCTCTACCAAAAGAGCGCAGACCCGGCTAGGGCAGGAGCACCAGGCCCTCATGTGGGGCTCATTCGGGGCCAGTCAGAGCCTGAAAGCCTCATGCTGGTCTAGCTGCCATCGTCATGTAGGGGAGTGGAGGCCAGGCATGGGAGACATGATGAGGAGGGTGCCCAGGACAGCCGGGACTGAAAGGAAAGAGGCAGGACGAAAGGGCCTCGGCCTGGAGGTGAGGACATGGGTCACGGAGCCTCTGTCTCTGTCTGGTTCTGGGCAGGCTTGTTGAGAAGCTCAAGTGTGTCTGTCAGCACCTGCCATAGGCAGTTGTCCAGCGGGAACTCATTGTCCACCAGGTTGACCAGGAAGTAGTTGTCGTGGATGTGTTGGATGAGCTTGCGGGACGGGGACTCCTCCTCATACAGCTTGCCCCACTGCTCGATCCACAGGGCGAAGGCCTCGTCCTGCACACACAAGGGCGCATGCGTGGGTACACACACACGCACATGCAGGGTTAGCAAGCGGCCCTCAGGTCAGGCTCTGTGCTCCCCGCCCAAGGGCTCTGCCACAGCCACAGGACATTTCCCGGAATAGAACAAGGCCCGCTGCCAGGGCCACTTCCCACCCCCACCCAGAAATAAACCCTATGCGTCAGGGTGAGTCAGAGGCAGGCGTGCCTCGACGGCCAAGCGCTGCCCCTGGGGGTGTGGCCTACCCAGGGTTTTCAAAGTGAACAGGGCAGGCTGCCTCCTGGCTCCTTTACCTTCCAGAACATGAAGCTGACGGGATCCACCACCGTGGGCTGGATGATCTCTCGCCCCGGGAAGATGCCCCATGTGACGGCGTTGGGCTGCAGTGCAGGGGCATTGGTGATGTTTTCACCCTGGGGGGTAGGGGGGTAAGAGCAACCATGGTCCTTCTCCTGCCTGGAGAGCCTCAGCTCACTGGGACCATCTGGGCCTGTCTCTGTGGACGGATCACTTCCCACATAAGCCTAAAGCTAGAGGCCGTCTTGGCCATGTCCATCCCCCTCACCCAGATCCCAGCTGCCCCCTCAGCTCCCCCACATCCAGTTGCCTCAACCTGTCTACTCTGGTCTGTTCCCTCGTCTCACCCACTGCCGGGTCCGTGTTCTCCCTGGGTCACCACAAGGGCCTCTCCACTGGCCTCCCCCCTGCCCCATCACCTGCATAGCCAACCACTGTGACCTACTGAACCAGCCACTTGCTGCTGGAGAAAGGCTCCAAACTCCAGCTGAGACCCCCTGCACCGGCCTGTGTGGCTGGACACCTCTGCACATCCTCCACCCGTCCCAGGAAGGCTCTTCTCCCTTGTGGCCAGGTCCTCTCTGTCCTTTTTAAGATTCTCCAGGTGAGAGGTCCCGCTGGGTCCTACAGCACCCTACACGGAACTTGGTTTCCTACTTACACTGACCGATCAGCATCCTTGTGTCTCCCTCACTAGGCTGGGGCTCTTAGAGGGCAGGGCCCAGTTTTGTCTGTGCCTCCCTGTCTTGCACGAACCTGGCCTGGACCAGGAGCTGGGTGTTGGCTGAATGAGAATGAACCTGGGTGCTCTCTGGCCCCACGGAGCACCGCATGGACCCCGGAGGGCTGGCTTACCTTTACGTCAACGATGTGGTAATTAACACGGAGCTCGTACTTCTTTAGCGCGTGCAGAAGCGCTCCCACTGTCTCCCGGGCAGTGAAGAACTCTAAGTAGGCCTGTGGGAGACAGGTGCCTGCCACGTCAAGCCACCCCTTGCCAGACACCCTTGCCAGCCACGTGAGACAGGACGCCCAGGCATCAGGACCAGGGGTGGGCACACAGACCGAATCACGGACTGTGGAGCTGGCAAATACGGAAGCCGAGGGGAGAGCAGGTATGTGAGATTTCTCAGGGTGGACATGCCCGAGTGACTTCTGCCACCCTGCTCCCAGCACTCAGGGAGGGCGCCACAGAGAAGCCCTTTCTGAACGGGGCAGCCAGTTTGAAGAGCTAAGGCTGGGGAGAGGCCTGACACATTCCATCCTCCCCAATCATGCAGGATGACAGTCACAGTGCCCAGCAGGGATTAAGCTGGGCTTGTTTACACTGGGTGCTAGAATGCGCATGACACTGCGAGCTGGGCACTATACCCCAGGAGAGCAGGCTTGGGAAGCTGAGCGCATCGGCTACCCTGACAGTAACAACCCAGCTGGCACTTCAACCCAAGCCTTTCTGACTCCATAGCCCAGGGGCTTTTGTTCAGAAAGTGATGTTAACTCCAGCAGCCCTAGGAGAAAGGTGTCACCCCAGTAACAGTGACAACAGCTTCTAGTTAGTGACTGCTTCCTGTCTTCCCATGTGCTAAGGACTTTGTTAGGCTTCATCCCCATAACATGAGACACATCCATTCCATGTCACAGAATAGAAAACTGAAGCACAGAAAGGTCAAGTGACCTGCCCCCCAGGCCTCCATGGCCCTGTCCACTCGGATCCACTGTCACTCAAAATTAAGAGCCCAGGAGAGAAAATGCTCTACCCCATCTCCAGGGAAGCCTGGGTGTCGTAGAGGCGGAACAGCCTGTGCACGCCCACCACACCTTCTGGAAGACGTAGCCCCCGCTGGGGCCCCAGCCCACGATGGGGTCGGAGGATGGCTTCCCGTTGATGTTGGGCTGCGAGTTGATGGTGAGGATGCCCTGCCGGTTCACCTGCAGCAGCTCCTCCTTCATCAGGCTGGTCTCCGCCGCTAAAGGCTCATCATTCCAGGGCAGACAAGTCACCTGGGAGGGACAGTGAGCTAAGCTGGGCGGCGATCAGGTCTGGCACGGTGGTCCTGCCCTCCTGTGGTTCCCATTAGAGACCCAACCTGTCTCTGCCTCCCTGAGCACTTCCGGGGGGATTTCCCAACTCACCCTCTGCCCTCTGCTACGGCACCACATCCACAGCAAGGAGAGGAGGTGGCTCAGGGTGGAAAAGTCATGGTCGCATCCACACCACCCACCTTGCAGCCATTCTGGTTGGACTCTCCTGAGAGGTAGTGCACAAAGACCTTGAAGACGCTCTCCTCGCTGGTCAGCTCCTCCCCCCACATCTTTAGCAGCTCTTCCTTGGGGGACTTGCTTTTCAGGTAGAAGAGGTAGTAGTCCTTCAGCTCCCCAAAGGCTGGAGAGGAAGAATTGCCCCTGGTGGAAGAGAGGCCCAGAGGTCAGCTGTCACCACACACCAGGGCAGTCCAGTAAACCCCGCCCCTGCCTCTTCCCCAGGCTCCACCACAAGCAGGCAAACCCCTGCCCCTCTGCCCAAGAACTAGGATTTGTTGGCAAGGAGCATGTACAGGCCCTCACCAGCGGCCGTTGGGGAACTCGTCCCACTCCTGGGTGCGGTAGATGTAACTCTTTGGTCTGGAGGCCCAGAAGATGGGACGAACGTCTTCCTCCCGGCGCTTGGGGTGAGCACTGACAGCCCAGGGCAGGGGACGCCTGGGTGAGAATGGAGACAGAAAGGACAAGGGCTTGGTTAGAGGGAGCCAGAAGGAGGGGAGCACCACGGAGCTGGTTCTTCCATCTGACTCCCTCTGACAGAGCCTTCAACGTGCCCAGCTAGCCAAGGCCTGGGCGTCCCTCTGAACCACTGTGGGGGAGCCCTGCATCCAGGCCACTCCGGGCTGCTGCCTCACCTGGGGTCCTCTGTCCACATGCCCAGGCGTTTCAGCACCTCTGTTGTGGCCACCTCACGGTTGAGGGTATAGAAGTGGAGGCCTGGCACCAGGCCGCTGGCCAGAAGCTCCTGGCACAGGCTCACAGCCAACTCGATGCCATAGTTGCGGATGGCGTCATCATTGTCTTTGATGGGCTCAATCACGTCCTTGATCTTCTGTGGTACCTCTAGCTTGGACAGCTTCACAAGCTGCCGGAGGGAGTTGTAGCCCTGTCGAAGATGCGAGGGGGCTGTGGGTACCATATGCCAGCCATCTCCCACCCTAAATTCTCCCTTTTCCATTCTCTGCCAGGTCTTCTGGTCCACTGCAGTGTCATGTGGAGGGACCCAGAAAAGCCGCAGCATTTTGCAGGAGTGCACCTGGGCTCCTGCTGCTTTCTTGCTCTGCTGTGTACATCCCTGCCCTGGGGCCAAGCAGTCCCTCAGTCCTAGAAATGTCGACTGACACCATGGTGGTTATCTAACCCAGCCAGTCCCAAGTCTCACTGTTGATCAGTATCACCTTCCAAGCTCAAGAAGTAAAATGCAAACTCCCAGGACACACCTCAGTTACGAAATCAGAATCTCCCCAAGAAAGCCATTTTCTTTGGAGTCGGAGATACTCTGTCCACCAGGCTGAAGTGCGGTAGCACACACGTGGCCCCCACAGTCATGACCTGCTGGCCTCAGGTGATCTTTCCACCTTAGTCTTCCAAGTAGCTGGAACCCAGACATGCGCCAGCACACCCAGCTGTTTTGTTTTGATTTATTGTAACGATGAGGTCTTGCCAAGTTGCCCAGGCTGGTATTGAACCCCTAGGCTCACGCAATCCCTTCGCTTTAGCCTCCCAAAGTGCTGGGATTACAGGCGTGAACCACCACGCCTGGCTGGAAACCCATCTCTTGAAACCGTTTATCAAATGGTTCTGATGGCTGCTAAGTGTGGAAACATTGATTTAACCAAAATTTACAAGAGAGTTGTAATCTCTTTTAGTAATACTTGTCAGTAGGCCAAGCTACACCAAACCCCTCAACAGACACTGTCTCTGGTTTTGGGGAGATTAAGGGTGACCAAGATGCGGTGGCACAACATGCTGTGTGGGGCTGCAGTATCATCTGATGGAAACTGAAGGAGCCTCCAAGGCCTTCAGCAGGAGCCTCCAAGTCCCCCAGAGCCCTGGCTGCGGCAGCATGGCGGGGTGGGGCAGAGTGGGTGGGGGGTGGAGGGGGCCGTGAGCCTCTTGGCCTCTCACCTGGATAGGAAAGATCCCAGGGAGGATGGGGCAGGTGATGCCCATCGCAGTGCAGGCCTTCACAAAGTGGAAGAATGTCTCCGCCTCAAAGAACAGCTGGGTGATGATGAAATTGGCCCCTGCAGACACCTTCTCCTTCAAGTGCTTCAGGTCAGCCTCGAAGCTCTGTGCATCAGGATGGCCTTTGGGGTAACCTGCCAACGGGATGACAGTAGGGACAGGCTGGCCTCCACCTGCTCAAGGTGAGTGATGAGAAGACAGAGAGCCTGGGAACAGAGAGTCCTATGCCTCACCTTGGACTCCCACCTCCAACTGCACAGCAGGGACAGAACGGAAACGGTGGGCGGCTGGGCTCTTAGATGATGTGTCCTGACCCTGGAGATGAAGCTCGTGGGAGGTGGCTTGGAACTACCCTCCCAAGAGCAGGGGTGCATTGCTCCAAACTCCACTCTATCCTGCCTTGACCAGTCAGGTGAGTCAAGCCTGCAATTGGCAGCAATGGAGGGAGAAGTGCTCTATTTAGCACAGGTCAGGAAACTGTCTGGGGTGCTGGGCTCGACTCCAGGTGCTAGGTTAAAATACTGTTTTGCCGGGCTCGGTGGCTCAGCCTGTAATCCCAGCGCTTTGGGAGGCCGAGGTGAGTGGATTGCCTGAGCCTGCGGGTTCGAGACCCGCTGGGGTAACTTGGCGAGACCTCATCTCTACAACAAATCAAAAATTAGCTGGGCGTTGTACCACGTGCCTGTAGTTCCAGCCACTTCTAAGGCTGAGGGAAAAGGATCGCCGGAGCCCAGCAGGTCGAGGCTGCAGTGGCCGGGAGCAGCCACTGCACTCCAGTCTGGGTGACAGAGTGAGACTCTAACTAAAAAAAAAACCCAACAAAAAAACCCCACTGTTTTGATATAACATTAAAATTACTCAGGGGTGCAAGATAATGAAAAGTTAAGCCAGGAGCGGTGGCTCATGCCTATAATCCCAGCACTTGGGGAGGCCGAGGTGAGAACACTACCTGAGCCCACAGGTTCGAGACCAGCCTGGGCAACTTGGCGAGACTTCATCTCTACAATAAATCAAAAAACAAATTAGCCGGGCGTGGTAGCGCACACCTGTAGTTCCTAGCTCCTTGGACGGCTGAGGCAGAAGGATCGCCTGAGCCCAGCAGGTTGAGGCTGCAGGGGCTGTGAGTGTGGGCTCAGTGGCTCAGCCTGTAATCCCAGTGCTTTGGGAAGCCAAGGTGATTGGAGTGTCTGAGCCTGCGGGTTCGAGACCTGCCCGGGCAACTTGTCGAGACCTCATCTCTACAATAAATCAAAAAATTAGCCGGCCGTGGTGGTGCGTGCCTGTAGTTCTGGCTACTCGCAAGACTGAGGGTGAAGGATTGCTGGAGCCCAGCAGATCGAGGCTGTGGTGGCCAGGAGCATGCCACTACACTCCAGTCTGGGCGATGGAGTGAGACTCCATCTCAAAAAAAAAAAACGTTAGAAAAAGTTATATAAGAAAGAGTTGAAGAAAGTGATATTTGCTTAAAGAAAAGAATGGAGAAAACACAGTAACCTCTTTCTTTTTTTTTTTTGAGTTGGAGTCTCACTCTGTCACCCAGACTGGAGTGCAGTGGCTGCTCCCAGCCACCGCAGCCTCGACCTACTGGGCTCCGACGATCCTTCCGCCTCAGCCTTCCAAGTAGCTGGAATTACAGGGGCGCGCTGCCATGCCCGGTTAATTTTTTGATTTATTGTAGAGATAAGGTCTCTCCAAGTTGCCCAGCCAGGTCTCGAACCCGCAGGCTCAGGTAACCCTCTCACCTCAGCCTCCCAAAGTGCTGGGATTACAGGCTGAGCCACCGAGCCCGGCTAGTAACCTCTTTCAAATGTGCAAAGCCTGACACGGGAAAAGGATTACACATGAGTCGAGTTCCTAACTGTCTTACTCCATGTTGCTCTGATGGCAGAACCGGCATCCATTTCAGAGCAGTTTGACGGGGAATGAGCAGCCCTACCGAGTAGTGAGCTTCTGGAGTCTGAAACCACAGGCCAGGCTGTGGGCAAAGATGTTGGGGATTCTGGAACTGACTGGGGGATGGCAGATGTCCTCAGGCTCCTTCCCCAACTGACTGAATTTATGGTAGCCTTGCTTAGCCAGTGAGGCAGGAAGACCACAGGACTTAGTGAAACCACAGTGAGTGTGAGTGCTGGCTTCCCTGCTCAGGGCAGGCCCCAAGCCAGGGAGGAAGCAGATGTAAGGGCTGGGCTGTGGGGAAGCCAAGCTACTTTGCTAAGGCAGTTTCGTTCTTGAGAAACCCAGAGTCATCAAAAATGGATAGAAAAGCTATTGTTTCAAGGAGCAAGGAAAACAGGGATTAAGCACCAGAATTTCATACATTCTTTCTTTTTTTTTTTTTTTTTGAGTTGGAGTCTCACTCTGTTGCCTAGACTGGAGTGCAGCGGCCACTACCGGCCACTGCAGTCTCGACTGCTGGGCTCTGGCGATCCTTCCACCTCAACCTTCCAGGTAGTTGGAACCACAGATCTGTGCCACCATGCCTAGCTGATTTTTTGATTTATTGTAGAGATGAAGTCTTGCTGCCCAAGCGGGTCTCGAACCCGCGGGCTCAGGCAATCCACTCACCTCAGCCTCCCAAAGCACGGGATTACAGGCTGAGCCACCGAGCCCAGCTCACTGATCTTCTTTATAACCACTTTTGTGCAAAGCACAAAACCATTTGGCAGCAATGAGCTCACAGCTTCACTGGTTCCAATCACCATCATCTAACAGCCATCACTGTGGCACACGTATTCCCCAAGTAACTGCCCTACAACTGACACAAAGACAATCACCGTTACCTAATAGCCACCATTGAAGCACACACACACATTCTCCAAGTGACCGACTGTCTTATGGCTGACTCAGGAACAATCACCTAACAGCTATCTCTGGGGCACACGCACATTCCCTAAGTAACTGTCCTACAGCTGACACAAGGACAATCACCATCACCTAACAGCCATCACTGGGGTGCACACATACATTCTCCAAATAACTGACTGTCCTATGGCAGGTACAAGGATGATGATTTGAATGATCACTGGAGATGCCTATTCTGTTCTTGACTCCTTATCAGCGCTTCCTAGACTCAGAACCTAAACACCCAGTTGACAGAACAGTGGACACATACATGGGAGCTGGGGACAAGGCCAAAGTCACAGCAACAAGTAATTTTCTTGGCCACATGGTTTATCTTTTTAAATTCAAATCACAGCCGGGCTCGGTGGCTCAGCCTGTAATCCCGCGCCTTTGGGAGGCTGAGGTGAGTGGATTGCCTGAGTCCGTGGGTTCGAGACCTGCCTGGGCAACTTGGCGAGACCTCATCTATACAATAAATCAAAAAAATTAGCTGGGCGTGGTAGTGCAGCCTGTAGTTCTAGCTACTTGGAAGGCTGAGGCAGAAGGATTGCCGGAGCCCAGCAGGTTGAGGTTGCGGTGGCCGGGAGCGGCCATTGCACTCCAGTCTGGGCAACAGAGTGAGACTCCAACTCAAAAAAAAAAAAAAAAAAATTCAAATCACTTGGGATGCTACTCCATAATGTAGCCATGTTTGTTTTAATATAAAAATGGTAGGATTTCCCCCAAAATATTGGAGAAAAACTGTCATCCCAGAAGATTTGTCAGGTCATTCTGGGGACTTTCCAAGTCCCTGGCACACACTGTTTCGCTATACCTAAGGCCTGAGAAACTTCTGCTTCAGGGTTTGGAAGTCAGGTCACCCCATCCGTTTGTCAGGTGAACCTGTCCTCCGGGCGGTGACCATTGGAACTAGAGTTGAGCTGACCAGATTCTCCTGAGAATGGAAACTGAAGCCTGTCAGTCAGTCTGAGCAACTGGTTGGAACTGCACCCTGCACTCAGGAGGAGGTCATATGTGTGCAGAGGCACCGGCAGCAGGCCTACCGGACAAGCACAGAGCAGATAAGTAGTGCGAAGTGGAGATGGGGACCCTGCGGCCCCAGAGGGAATGACAGGGCTCTGGTTTCTGACAGCTCCAGTATCTTCCATGCCTGGTGAGGTTTTAAGCCATTTCCTGACCTTGAGTTCCCTGTCCCCTGCTATCCTCTAATACATATCCCATTACACATACTTGCTTTAAAGAAAAGAATAGGCCCAGGAAGTAGGCTATGAGCAGGACAAGGCAGAGGAACGAAAACTTATGGGTGGTGGCAGGCCTGGGTGACAGAACAAGAGCAAGGACATCACACAACTCGCCACTGCACATCTCATCCAGCACAGACTCAGGCCCAGGAGTGCACTTGACTGCTGTGTCCTGAGCCTGGGACTGGCAGGCTCTCTGGGCATCACAGCCCTGCTATTCTCCATCCCTCCCTCACCGGGATGCTCCTCCAGTCACTCACCTGCCACACAGATGTCAAAGTAGTCACCAAACTCGCTTCGGATGTGCTTCACCAGGTCCAGGGCATAACTGAAGCCTCCTTCCTCTTCTTCCCACTGGTCACCTATGGGGTCTGCAGGGTTGGTGGGTCACGGTCATGCCTACCCTCCAGGGAGCCTGTCTATTCCCTCTGCCTATCTCTACACCCAGGACAGAGTTCCTGGAAAGCAGAGACTCTGCATTATTTACATTTATTTTTCTAGTACAGCACTTGGTCATAGCAGGAGGGAGAGAAGCAGCCCGCCGGTCCAAGGCAGCGCCCACTTGTCCCTAGCCTGTAGGATTTGAGAGCCCTTCCCTACTCAAACCTGGTGTGCTTGACACTCCTGGCTATCCCTACCGCTTGCCCTCCCATGGCCTTGGAGCTCCGGCCTTTTAGAACTTTCTATTCATCTCAGGTGAGAAGTGGTCTTGTGGTGGAAGCACCAACAGGGTCCTCTCCCATTTGGTAACCCAACGGAAGTAGACACCAGAGGAACAACCAGCTATTCTCACTCCTGGGCAAATGCCTGGGCCAAGCGCCAGTGCAGCCAGCAATCGATACAGGTGCGCGGCCAGGGCAGAGGGTTATCAGGCACTGATGGCATTCCCGGCTGGATGCCTCCGTAGAGGTCAAGAGGTGGAAGTGGTGGCTCCCTTTCAGCTGCCTATGGGCGACTCACTACCCACAGAGCGTGCAGTTTCCACTGGAAGGGATGGGACCCAGGAAAAATATAAAAAGACCATTCCAGGGACTGGAGAGGCTTTGGGAAAGCCAGAACCCAGCGCGCAGGGGAGTGCTGGCTGCACACCTCCCCTCAGTGCCAAGATGTTCTTTAGGCCCAGCTGCTTGGCTTTGTACAGGTGGCCTGTGATGTCCTCCTGGCGCTGCCTGCAGCAGGTCATGTGCAGGATGGTCTCCAGGCCACAGTAATTGACAGCGGTGCTGGCGATCATCATAGAGGAGGTCTCCTTGTCTGAGCCAGGGTCCCCTGCTGGGTGCCAGGTCACATCTATAAAAAGAGGTCCGCCTGCCGCCATCCGGTCAAACCTGTAGAGAATTCCTTCCTGAAGAGAGGATCCAGGGGAAACACCACCCCTCCCACCTTCCCATTGGGCCTGGGGATCCAAGAAGTGCAGCCTGGAGGGTAGAATCAGACCCTGGCGTTCATATCACAGCTTGCTCCTTCTAGCTGTGAGATCTTGGGTACATGATCTCTGAGTTCAGTTTCTGCATTTAAAAGATGTGGCAAGCCGGGCTCAGTGGCTCAGCCTGTAATTCTGCGCCTTTGGGAGGCTGAGGTGAGTGGATTGCCTGAGCCCACGGGTTTGAGACCCGCCTGGGCAACTTGGCGAGACCTCATCTCTACAATAGACCAAAAATGAGCCAGGTGTGGTAGCGCGCGCCTGTAGTTCTAGTTACTTGGAAGGCTGGGGTGGAAGGATTGCCGGAGCCCAGCCGGTCGAGGCTGCAGTGGCTAGGAGCTGTCACTGCACTCCAGTCTGGGTGAGAGTGAGACTCCAGCTCAAAAAA